AAATTTTCCACCATCTGCTTTGCTTTGGCAGAATGTTTGCTGAAAATATCTCCCTTCCTCTCTAATTCCCATAATTTCTGGGGGCTTTGGGAGCCTCCAAGCTGAGCAGCCATAGCACACAAGTGCCTCCCAAGCACACAGGGTGCCGGCTGCCCTTGTGCCAAGCAGGCGGATGTTGTGTGGCCCAGAAGGGGGCCCCACCCCCTGACCAAAAAGGGGCATCAGAGGTCTCTCCACTGCTGAGCTGACCTTAAGTTCAGTCCCAGGATCAGAGCCAGTGCCTGTGTGTCTGCCTCTTGGTTTTTGACATGAAGCCTGGAACGATGCCTGAGGTCACAGAAAGAGGTGGTGACCAAGCAGAGCCTAGAGGCAGGCCCCCCACATCCTGATCTGAGCCCAAATAGTCTCCATCCCACTTGTCCTTGGACCGTTCCTGGCAAGGTGTCTCCATAAAAGATCAGCTGCCGCATGTGTCCTTTGAGGCAGTCAAGGGAGACTCTTCAGGAGGGAAGACTCTCCCCACCCCACTTCATATACCAAAACTCAGTTTCCATGGTGACAGTCAAATTGCAAATCTATCCAAGAGCAAGCTGGGGTGGGGGGCAGGGAAGCTGGCCTATCCCCAGAGAAGTGGGCCTGCCTGGAGCTGGTCTGTCTGTCCACTGCTACAGATAAGTGTCCGGCCAAGCAGGGCAGCCCCTCTGGGCATGATGGGAAAATCTCAGGGATGCCAGATCTCCCAGTAAGTGGTCCAGGCGCTCACACTGCGGTGGAGGGAAACCAGAGGGGAGTCCTCCCTGTTCCCTGCCTCACAGAGGAGCCCGGCAAATCCCTATAATGATCCTCTTTCTCGTGAAGGCTATCGGGACCATCTTCTCCCTGGGGTTTTCCCATCTTCAGTTGGAAAAAATCAGGTGTGGGCAGAATAAAAGTGCTCCTCACCGAGCCATCCCAGCTGCAGCCCTTGAGGAACTACAGGAAAGATCAGCCCTCAGACACTCCGAGTATTTTGTGGAGAATGGAAGAACAAGGGCCAAAAGATTTATGAGCCTAAAAGCTTTGTTAATAGACCTGGAAGATTTACGATCCCAGCTGCTGTCCAGAAGGAAGGTGGCAGTGGCAATCAAATGGCAAATTAGCCAAGGTTTGGGTTTTACGGGACATCTTGGGGGCAGAAAGAAATAGCTGCTTCCTTGGCCACTCACTGAGAAACCTGGGACTATTTGGATAAAGGGTGTTTGCAGGAGGCCTGGGCCTCTCTTGGCTGTGTCTTCTCCATGTGTCTTGTTCCCCTGTGACAGTAAAAGGCGCTGGCTGACACAGATGACATCTTTCGGTTTGTTTCATTCAAGTAGGGCTTATGAGAGTAGATTAGAAATGGGATTTGGGTCTGGAGCACAAAGCCCTTCACACTGAGGGTTGGCCCCAGTCGAAATCCCAGTATAATGAGCAATGATGGCCAGGCCAAGGGGCAGTGCATCTGAAAGAAATGGGTCTTTCCAGTCAGCCAGGTGCTCTGTGGCAACATTGTGAGCTCATTTGTCATCTGTTCCCCTGTTTCCATGGCTGAGCCTTTTGGGGTCTGTAACAGGAATCAGAGAACAAGTCAGCTGATGGTAGCTTGGGAAAGTTTTGTTTATTTGTTTGTTTGTTTTAACTTTGTGCAACACAGACACCCCATGGATCCCATGGGGACCAGCCACCTTCACCCCACCTCCAGGGTGGCCATTTTGAACAAGATCACACCTCACAACAAATTCTGTTCTTCCAGTGTAGTGTGGCACATGTGTCTTGGAATTTTAGCCTGATCCCAAGCCCACTTCTGTGACCATAGATGTCAGAATGGGCAAGAGTGGAGAAATGGGGAAATGAGCTTGCCACCATAACCTGAGTTCTGGGACATCCTGTTCCATCATCCCTGCCGAGCCCTTTGACATCTTCCCCTTTACACCAGGCACCACTTGACTCCCCAGAGCCCCTTGCTCACCCCAGCCCCTAACTGCATAGATCCTGCACATTAGCCTCAGGGGAGATGGAAGCTTCCAGGTCAGGAAGCACAACTAGATCATGCGCGAACATCTCAGTCAGAAAGATGGGGAAACGGATGTGGAGGTCAGCCAATGCCTCTCCAAAGGGACTGTCCTGCTGCCAAGCCACACTGCCTTCCCCTGCTGCCTAGAGCATGAGCCACAGTCCTCCTGAGTCCTTTGCAGATATCCCAAGGAGGGTGTGGGGAGCTGCTTTCTCCAGGTGTCTGTCAGCCATCTCTGCCTCCTGCCCACCTCCTCCCACCCTCTTTGTCTGGGCACCCACGAGGTTGGTGTTTAGTCAGGGAATGAGTCAAAATTACGTAAATGCTTCTAACACTGATGCCCGTGGGGTCTAGTCTTGGTGAATTCAGGCTCAAAGCTGCTCCGACCGGGACATGCAAAGCAAAATACGTCCAGTTTCTCACATCCTGTGAAGGGGCACATGAACCACAACCTCTCCTCATCCCCACCCCCTCTTGGCTGTGTATCACAAAAACCCAAAATGCCAAAGCAGAAGTCTTCCTGGTGGGCAGGGGAGGGAAGGAACCAGGGAACAAAAGAGCATGGTCCTTGAGCAGATGGAAGAAGGAGAAGCCAGGGACAGTCACGTGATGGTCATCCTGTCCCACCCCCAGGGCAGCCTACAGAAAGGAGATACATGCCAGCCTCCTTGGTGGGAAGGGGCTGGGGCTTGGTCTTGCAGATGAGGGAGCCCTTTAAAGAGGGCGGCACCAGCATCTGTTTCACTAGAGCATCCTGGGCTGTGCAGAGGGAGAGCTGACCGGGAAGCACCTACAGGTGCCAGGCGAGGGACCCTGCTCACTGAGCCACTGCTGGAGGAGGTAAGACCTTGAGCTGAGTAAGGCCAGTGGTGACAGTGAAGAGGCAGCTGATTCAAGGCCCATGTAGGTGATGAAATTGGCAGGAGGTGAGGACATTTGCAAGGCAAGTGCCACTTAAGCAGTCCTCTGTGAAGCTCCTACACTGTAGTAACCACTCTCCCATGGAAGCCAGGGCTGAAAGTCTCTCAGAGTCCGAGTAATCAGCCAACTCCCACCCTCTGGCTGCTTGCTTCTATGGCCCGTGACTCCCTTAGCTGCAAGTTGACATAGGCTGGGCTCTAGACCCCAGTGGAAGTTACCATTTTGCCCTCTTGTACTCACACTGGGCTTCCCTAACTGGCCAGTTGGTTCCCCCACTGAGCGTTAATGTGATCTCAGAATTCTCTGCACACTGCCGCAGAAAGGACTTGGCAGATCAAATGAAACCTATTAGCTACCCTTGGTATAGATCGATTCTGTTTCTAATCTTATCTTCCACCAGTGGGAACCGATGGCTCAGAGCTGTGGAGAGGATTAAGATTCACTTGCTAAGCGCCTAGCACAGTGCCTGCTTCTAGAACTCAACCCATTCTGCCCTCCCTCTGTGACCAGCCTTTCCCATTTCAGCGTAAAACAAAACAGATGCCTGTGACTTCTGCCTCACCCTCTGAGCTAGTCACCTGTGAGAGGTGTTTACCTTAATTTTTGTGGTGCTGGGGATTGAACCCAGGGCCTCACTCATGCTAGGCAAGTGCTTTACCACTGAGTGACATCCCCAGCCCTTTTAATTTTGTTTTGAGACAGTCTCGCTGAGTTATCCAGCCTGGCCTCACACCTGCGATCCTTCTGCCTCAGTCTCCTGATTAGCTAGGATTACAGATGTGTGCCACTGAGCCTGGCAGAGAGCTGGCTACCTTTGATCCCACATCTTTTTATGCAGTTATGCTTGTGATTATCCTTATGTCACATCATTAAATAAATTGATAAAGAGTCAGAAAAGAGACCAGAGCAGTTTCATTAAGACCAAGATATTATAAGGTCTTGATAGAAGCCACTTGCTTTTACAAAAAATCTATTGAATTAGATGTGGGCAGGACAACTGTAAAAAAACAGGAAGAAATGGGAGAATATAGGATTCTGCAGTCAGATTGCTGTGCTAGTGTTTTTAAACTCCTGTTTGAATTTAAAGAAACTAAAACCAGAGTCCCAGACACCATGGTATGGAGGCAGTTTATACCCAAAAGGCCATGTGGGCCCAATCTCAAAGCAGCAGCCAAGGCCTGCTGCAAAAGGTTGGCAAATGGATGTACACTTCTGTGTTTAAAATTAAAATAGAATGTTTCAAGGATGAATATATCCTGTATTATGACGCCCACGTTGATGAACCAGCCAAATGTGGTCTCATTGAGTGCAGAAAGGAGAGGATGTTCACTGTGAGAGCCCCTCCCCTCGTCCTCCCAGGACCCCAGCCCCATCTGGCACCTGCTGCATCCACCGTGAGTTACTGGGTGGACTGGGTTGACAGCCCGAGTCTGCAGCCTCCCAGCTCACGTCTTCCAGTAGAACAAGCATGGTCACAAGCACAGACCCCAGAGCCAGCCTGCCCAGTTTAGGATCCCAGCTCCACCAAGGCCACACACCTCAGTTTCCTCACCTGTGAAATGGGGTTGCGATATTTCCCACCTCATGGGACTGTTTTGAAACTTCCGTGAATTCGTGTATGTGGAGTACTGGAAGGCTGCCCCAGAGCAGGCTATGACAGACTTCCGCTGTAGGCCCTTCCCTTCTGCCTGAGGCCTCGGAGCGGCTGTGTCCGCTCCAAAGGTGATCCTAAGTTTCCACCAGGCCAGAGGGCTCCAGCTTTGCCACAGAGAGAGGGTGACACATGGAGAAGGCTGGCCAAGCGTGAGCCCTCCCTGCTGGTGTGGGGCACACTGGGCTCCCATCCCAACCTCCTCGGCCAGGTCTCCCCTCTGACTGGTGGGAAGAAGCACACCACCCCACCCTGGGCTGTCGTTTCTCGTGCCCAAAACAGAAGGGCTGGCAGAGGTTATATGGCACTGTCAAGCCCAGAGGGAGGCCTGCCCTGGCTCCCTCCATCCAGGCAGTGGCCAGTGAGGGTGACCTCTGCCCTGCCTGTCTTTTCCAGTGGTTTCCAGCAACAGTGACAGTGACTCAGATCTCAGCTCTTCCAGCCTGGAGGACAGACTCCCGCCCTCTGGGACGAGGGACAAAAAAGGCAACAAACCGGTGGGGGAGGCAGGTAAGTGTGGGAAATAACCCTGTTGCTTCCCAAGCCCTGGGTGCAGAGTAGCTTTGCTAGTAGGGACCCCGGGCCTCCTCCCGAGCCCCCCTGTGCCATTCCCCAGCTGAGATTGCCCCTCCTGAGCAAGAGGGGCTGGGAAAGTCAGGTATAAACTTCCCTGAACTAGCTCCACTCTGCCATAAAACCACTCCTTTGCCTTCTGATGGCACTTCCTCCGAGGTCTGCAGCACAAGAAAGATGGAGCAGGTGGTCTCTGCAGTTCTTTCTGGCTTTGACATCTCTGAGCTCACCTCTGTGACACTGTCATATGACAGAGGGTTGACTTGGGATTGAGGCTAGAGCAGAAGGCAAGGCAAGACATTTTCCTTCTCTTCGAATGCATTGAGGCCCCTCCAGGAAAAAGACTGACTTTGTTTAGAGTTACCCCCATGTTAGAACCAGAATCTTGAGAGAAGTTTCAGGAAGGCTGACGTTAGTACATGATTTTAAAAAAGAACTTTATAATAACTATCCCAGACTGGGACAAATGCCTTGGGGCACTGTTCTGAGCCCAAGACTAGGTGATGTCCTGCCAGAGCTGGCGTGGAAGGAATTCCTGTTAGGAATTGGACCAGATCAAAAAAAGCAAATGCCCAGCCCTGTGCCATGTTGATCATGATACTCTTTTCCAGAGTCCTGCCGTGGCCTCGGAATCCTCCTCAGTGCAGTTTTCCAAGTGGTCAGTCTCAGTTGGCAGAAATGATGAAAAAGATAAAAGCTGGGGCCTGGGGATTTAGCTCAGTGGTTTCACCGCCTGCTGCGTAAGCGCAAGAACCCGAGTTCGATCCCCGGTACCAAAAAAAAAAGATAAAAGCTGTCCCTGGATCAGGCCTCTTTGGGATGAAAGTGCTGCTTTAGAAAAGTAAAGGAAATTTCCCTGCCAGCCGTGGTTTCCAGGATGAGTTTCTCATGCTCCTCCTCCCCTTTCATGACAGCGCTAGTCTCCCTCCCTTCGCACCAACCCACAGCTGTGACCACACAGGACCCTGGGGAAGGACAGGGTGAAATGTTACAGGCTCCACATCTACTCTCGGCTGGGCAAGTACTAATAACCGTGGTGGAGTCAGGGCTCTTTAGTGAGTAAAGACAGTAATATCTTCCTTGCAATCTCATTGGGTTAAGTGGAACATAAGCCCTTCTCCCGTACCCTCATTCCATGAAAGCTGGAAAAACTAACAATTGTGGATTTTTATGGTGGTGACTTGTTATTTAGTGAAATGGCCTAAGGGCCCATTTTGATGCTTTGCTATCTCAGACCAATCAGAAGAGACGGAGTGGGGGTTCCAGCTAGAACACAGAGGGGGGTCCTGCTGGAACATGACAGCTTTGTTCTGGGGGCAGCTCCCAGGGGAGAGGCTGCAAGAAACCACCCACAGATACCACCATCATTCCAAAGGAGAAGATGTTAACCATCTGCTAGTTGTGCTGAGCTCATCCCTGTCGCCATTTGGGTCTGGAGAGCCCAGTATGGAGCCATTCAGACACACATGTCTCCTGCAGGTGGCAGCATGGAGTCTCCCAGGATGGGGCTCACCCGCGCACCCAGCCACCTCTCGGGGAGCCAGAGCAGCCTGGCCAGGGAGACTGGGACAAGCTCTGCAGACCCACAGGGGCACAGCCTTCCCCAGCCTGAGCCCAGGGGCCCTGGTGAGTACCACACTGTACTTCAAGCCCACCACCGTTTCCCCCTCTTCTGCTTCCTCTCTGAGTGGCCCTGAGCTTCTCACTCCCTCCTCCCAAACTGCAGGGTGGTAGGTGACATTGTCAGTTCTCTGCATATACTGAGTGCAGTGCTGGGTGCTGGGGAACGAAGGTCAGCCAGACCCCAGCCAGCCAGCACTGACCAGAAAGAGGGATACAAATGATAACGGTGCCATCCCTGTCTCCTCTCAGTAACTGTAACGGTGGTGATCAGCATTCCCTGCTTCATGAAATGTGTGTCAGAGCCTTTCCCCATCTCCAGGTCAGTGATAGGAACTCCTGCTTTGTGAGCACCTACTATGTGCCAGGCAGTTCCTTCCTCACCAAGCCCCATGTGCCAGCCTGGGCCAGGAACAGGAGAAGCAGGGCCAGTCCTTACCCTCCAGAGACCTACGCCATAGCTGAGGGAGTTGAATCAGCCCACCCAACCCAGGGCCCGCCCAGCTGGAGCCAGCCCAGATCCTAAGAGGGAGATTCTGGGAGCAGTGGACCCAGCCTGCCCTGGCACCTCCAAGGTCAACTTGCACCCTGTTGGCTACTCTGCCAACAGGATGTCCCCGTTTGATAGTGGGTAATAGACAGAGTCCAAGGCTCTACTTGTCCACTGTCCCAAGCCCTGGTGTAGCCCAACATCATGGGATGGTGGGGTGGGGGGCTTCTCACACTCAAGTCAGAGAAAACTGCTCATGCGGGAAAGGCCCCGGTCCCCTCAAGGAGGAAGCCCCAGCCACACTGGGCCCCTCACAGCCAGAGATGCAGGGGCCCCTGTGAATCAGGGCAGCAGCTGATCTGCTGGCAGGGGGGTCTCCTTCTCAGGCACCCACCAAGAATGCCCTCCCCATTCCCTCTGTCTTCTCTCCCCACTTGATGGTTCCCCAGAAAGCACAGGCATTTGGGAGGGAGGCAGTGGAGGGCCGGTCTCCAGGGAGGGGGAGGCATCTGTGGCCATGGAGTGGACCCTGTCCCCTCCCTCTGGCCCTCTCCAGTTCTCCGTGGAGGACAGTTTGGAATGAAGCAGACCTCCACTCTAGTCCTAGCCCTGCCACCCACAGTCGTGTTAACTTGAACAAACCATAAAGTTGAGCATGTGAATTACTGTTTTGTAGATCAAAACAAGGCCAGCCCAGCAATGCTCTCTTTGCACAAAGTTCTGTTAGCACTGAAGGGTCCCTCATGCGGCGGTGGGAAGGGTGAGGCCAGCGTCCCTAGGCACTGCCTTCCCTGAAGAATCTTTGGGAAATGTGCGGTAATAACAGGGAGGGCACCAGGGCCTAAGAAACAGCATGGAGAGGACTGCCCTATGGCACGATTTATATTCCCATGCCCCTTGCTCCTTTCAGCATTCGAGGCCACCATGTCATGACCCTGGCTTTTGACAGGCCGACTGAAGCACAGAGGGACAGGCGACATCCCTGCAAGCACACGCAGAGCTGAGCGGTGCTGGCCCAGAGCGCAGGCTCCCCTTGCCCAGCATCCCCTGGCTCCTGGATGGGCAGCCCCCTGCTTCCTTTCCCACAGGGCAGCAGCGCAGGTGCAGGGACTGTTCAGGAAGGCCCTGCCTCCACCTCCATGTCCTTCCCCAAGGTGGAGCTGTCACTGAGGAGGGACTGCACCTCTGCACCTCTGCATCTCTCCTTGTGTGGCCTTTTTCTCTTTTCTCCAAAGGCAAAAGACAAACCTGGGCGACTCCCCGCTGCTGATGTGGCCTTCGAAGGAGGGTTACTGCGTGGAGCCAACTTGCCAGTGGGAGACTGAAACCAAGAGAAAGCTGGAGCCAGGCTGGATCCTCCCCGACTTCTGATTCAGCGAGTCAGTGTTTGGGGGCTGAGTCTAGTGCCCCCACCTAGTGCCTTTCTGCGCCCCTCTGGGGAGCCCTCCTCATCCACCATTCTCCCCTCAAGCTGTGACCTTTATTTATTGCCTCTCCCACACACACGTGTGTTTTGGTGGGTCTTAGGTTGGGCTGGAAGGGCTCTGGGGCCCCTCTTATGAGGCCCCCTATATGCACTGCGGTTCTAGTAGGGCCACTGCACCGGTCCTTTCTGTGTTTGTATTAATGACAAGAAGAACTACAACCCTCCTGTACCCCTCAGAGCCAAGCTTAGTCCCTCAGGGTGAGTGCAGAAGCCCAGAGCAAGTGGGGTGAGGGATAAGCCCACCCTCTCCCTGTCCCTCAGCTCCCCGGGGCAGGAGCACTGTCGTGCCTTCCCAGAGGACTGGCTTCTTGTTTGGTTTCTTTGAATCCCTCCATTGGCCTCCAGGTTTTCACTCAGCCAGGCACATGGGTCCCCTAAGACATTAATTCTCTTCTCTTCAGTAGATTGGGTTGGACATGAAAAAACACTCAATTCAAAGTGCAGTCAAATGCTTCTGGAAACCCTCCCTGAAGAGAAAGTGTATGTTGCTGTCCTTGCCCTCCTGCGCTTCCTGCCCTCCTCATCGCTCCCTGGGACTGGGGTTTTCCAAGGGCCCTCTCAGCTCCAAACCCTTAGCTTCTCTCCCTTGCCACACTTCCCTGGGACATGTTATGCTTCAGAATTAAAACAATAAAGATTAGAGTTTGCATTGAGTCAATGTGTTATTCAAAGGACCACAATCACAGGGTTTCTGAGATTCGGTAGAGAAATGGATGGAAAAAATGTGGTACCGTTGATTTGCTGGAACCCTCCCTCACCTCAGGAAAAGAATGAGCTACATCTGTGTGTCCTAATGGAACTCACAGCCTAATGTTGAATGGAAAAAACAAGCCCGCCTATGTAAAAAATTATCAAGGTGAGTTGAACAGACTTACGTGTACATACGTAAAAATGTTTTTTAAGTGGACAAAATCTTCTGGTTATTTATGGTAGACTGAGCGCATACACAAGTTCTTCTGCCCCCAAAGCCCCACTGAAATGACATAAAGAAATGAAAATGACATAAACCACAAAGACCAAAGGAACAGAAGAGAAGATGGCTGGGGGTGAGAGGTGTGTGGAAAAACTTGGGAAGATAAGGCAGCACCATTTAGTCAGTGTCGGCTTCCCCCAGTCCCACAGTGCCCACAAGGGAAGAACAAGCCCCCTCACTCTGCAGAATCCCCTAAATGCTCAGGACTTGAAGGGACCAGTGGTCCCTAAGATGGAAGCTTAGGATGGGTCTGAAAATAATAATGGTTGAAAGAAGTGTTTAGAGGGGCTGGAGGTGTAGCTCAGGAGTAGAGCACTTGCCTAGCGTGCATGAGGCCCTGGGTTCCATCCCAGCACTCCAAAAAAGAAAAAAAACAAAAACAAATACAAATGGTGGGCCAGGGATTTAGCTCAGTGGTTTCGACGCCTGCTGCGCAAGTGCAAGGACCCGAGTTCGATCCCTGGTACAAACAAAAAAAAAAATGGCAAGGCCCCAAGTCCTAGTCGTGACCAACAGTGCCTAGTTTCTGCCCTGCTCTGACCTGGTAGCAGACAGGTCTGTACTGTCGGCCACCAGTGAACTGCAAAGATTCTGGGTTAAGGAGCCCAAACCTAGCCAAACAGCGGAGTAAGGGGCTTCATGGAAACCTGAGTCGGTCCGTAAAGAAACCCCCGCCCACTTTTGCCTAATCACAATCCCCCACCTCAAGGCAGGACATCATTGAATTTCTCTGTGTGAAACTGACCAAAGAGGACAGAAGGACAGATCCTGACATTGGTGATTCCCCAAACAGTGGGTCTCTGCCCAGTCACCAACTGGAGGCCTCCTGCCCTGTGACCAGGCTACCTGGTGCCTTGTCAGTGTCCCTCATGGTGGGACAATCAAAGACACCCAACATCGGACCGACTCCAGTACTGACAAGTGAGTTCCAGTACACAGAAGAATGGAGTCAGGAATGTGCTCTGGTGATAGTGCCCCCATGAGACAAGATAACAGAATGTGGTTTTGGGGGGTAGTTTGGGGGGTTTTTTTTTTTTGGTACCAGGGATCAAACTCAGGTCCTTGCGCTTGTGCAGCAGGCAGCAAAACCACTGAGCTAAATCCCCGGCCAAACAGAATGTTATTTTTAAAAAGAAAGTGTTCATGCTCTTGAAAATTAAAAATATGATAACAGAAATTTTAAAATGTGTAAGAAGATCAGAGGAGGAAAAAAATCTCCCAGAAAGTAAAACACGAAAACAGAGATGTAAAAGAGGAAAAAAAGTCAAGAACACTGGAAAACAAAAAGGCACAATGAATACAAAGTCCAGCTTCCAACTCTAGGAAATTCAAAGCAAGAAGCAGAAAGCAGAGCAGAAGAAATTGCTGAAGAAGTGGCACAAGAATATTTCCTAGATGGGCATTGGGTTGCAGTTAGATAGGAGCAAGAAGTTCTGGAGTTTTATTGTATAGTAGGGTGACCATAACAACAGTAATGTACTACAGATTTCAAAAAGTGAGATGAAAGGATTTTAAATGTTTTCACCAAAAGAAATGATAGCTGAGGAGATATGTTTACTCTGATTTAAACATTGCACAATATGTACATGTATCAGAACCTCATGGTAAATTTACCCACGTAAATATGTACACTTTATGTTTGTATATCAATTTAAGTTTTTTAATTAAAAAAATAAGAACCCTGAGATGTAGCTTAATGGTAGGGCACTTGCCTAGCATGCATGAAGCCCTGGGTTTCATCCTCAGCACACACACACACACACACACACACACACACACACACACACTCTGTTTCCTAAGATTGAAAGCAATGAGCTCTATGTAGAAAGAGCTGACCAAGTGCCCAGCACAGTGACCTTGGCAACGCTTAGCAGGTAAAGATGGGAGAGGCCTGCGCCAGCTGTAATTCCCATCCCTTGAGTCTTGCCGGAACCCAGGCTGTCACCTGGGACAGAGAGGAGGGTGCATCTGCAGCATGCTTGCAGGTGATGCACGGGTCCAAGGCTGCACCTAGGGTAGCCCAGCCTTGAGCAGTGGTTGTCACATTTGGCTGCTCATTTGAGTCACCTGGGAAGCTTTACATGTACACATGCCAGACCCACCCACCAACAGAGACTGTGGTTAAACAACTTTGGATGCATCTTGGGCATCAGGTTTGGTTTGGTTTGGTGGTGCTGAGGGTTGAACCCAGGGGATCATTCATGCTAGGTGAGCGCTCTACAACTGTGCTACACCCCAAGCTCATACACTGGGGCTTTTTAAGTCGCCTGGATGGCCAGCATTCTGGGAGAGCTGAGGGCCATTTCTGCTCTTCTGCATGGGTGCCAGCAGACATGGGCAGAATGTTTAGGGTAGAACGTCTTCATTAGCTAAAAATTGGAAACAATCTAAATACCACCACAGAAGAATAGATAGATAGTTGTGAAATATGCAGCGAATTATGCAGTGGTGAAAATGAGTCCACGCTCAGATGAATCTCACAAAATATTAAAATGTAGTTGTGAAAGAATGCAGGGTGCGATCAAAAAATACTGTGACTTTGAATTTTTAAAATTTTAACACAGTAAATGATACATTGCTATTAATCCCCCTCAGAATATTCCCACTTGCTTAAAACACAGTTATCCAGTCATTCTTGCCACTTGCTGAAGCAGTTCTGGCAGTTCTCTTTCCTGAGAGTCTTTGGTTGCATTTTCATACTTTTGTGGTCATTTTTACTTTGGGGAAGAGCCAGAACTCATTTGGTGCCAGCTCTGGTAAATAAAGTAGATGGGGACACACCATAATGTTTTTATTTGAAATAAATTGCTATAAACATTTGATCAATGAAGTGAATAAAAAAGTGAAAGTTTAAATAAAAAATTTTATTACAGAAAAAGATACATCACCATTAACATCACTCAAAATGCTCCCCCTCATGTCGAACACATTTATCTCATTGTTCTTGCAATGTGTTTTTTCATGAGTTTTTAAAATTTAAACATTGACTATTTTTTGATCACCCCTAGTATGTTGGAAAACTGAACAGCAGACTCAGGACTCATCTTGGGAAGAAGAGACGCAAGTAAGGGGTTTCAACTTAATGGTAATATTTTATTAAGTTTGGGGATGGGAAGATGAGTTGTAATATTTATATATTACATATTAATATTAGTATCATCTTTCTATGTCTGAAATCTTTCAAAACAAAAAATTTGAGAAACTTCTTAGGATGAAATTTCAGGCTACCACCAAGTATGATGGTGCATACCTGTCATCCTAGTACTCTGGGAAGCTGAGGCAGGAGGAGGCAGGAGGATTACAAGTTCAAGCCCAACTCAGGCAACTTAGTAGTGACTTAGGGACACCCTGTCTCAAAATTAAAAACAAAAAATTTATGGGTATGTAGCTCAGTGTGAAGACCATGGGTTTAAACCTCAGGAAAGAAAGGAGTTGGGGGGGAGACAAAGAAAAAGAGAAAGAAATTAATTTTAGAATACCAAGATAAAGGGAAAAAAATTCTAAAACCTTCCAAAGAGGAAGAAAAAAAACAAAAAAAAAAACAGGTCACATAAAAGATCAGGAATTAAAATGGCCTCCTAATTATCAAAGCAAAATTTGAAAATCTTCTGAAATCTGAGGGAAAAATTTTATATCCAGCCAAGTGACAGGTATGAAGGGAAAATGAAGGTATTTTCAAACATGTGAATTCTTGATAAATTTCTCTTTCTCAGGCAATTACTGCAGGATGTGCTCCAACCAGACAAGAGAGGAAACCAGGAAAGAAGATTCAGGGGACACAGGAGAGAGGCAGAGAATCCCCAGGGTGATGGTGGAGATGTGTGGCCTGGCCAGAGTAGAGCATGAGGACAGAGGAGATAGACAAGGATACACAAGAAGCATGTGTATGTTGGGGAGATTGTACACGAGCTCTAAGTCCTATTTTATAATCCTACACAACATTGAAAAATCAAGAAATAGAACCAGAATGAGATGTAGATTCAGAGGAGCTAAAAAGCATTCTCAGCGTTGCCTGGAGAGGGACTTCAGGTGGCCAGGGAATTACTGCTTTTATGTTATAAACTTTGTAGGACAGTTAACCTTTTAAAACTATATATTACATAATATTTATAACAATTTTTGTGGTACTGAGGGTTGAACCCAGGGCCTTCACACTGAGCAACATCACGGCCCTTTTTTTATTTTGAGACAGGCTGCTCAGTTGCTCAGGCTCCACTCAGACTTGTGATCCTCCTGCCTCAGTCTCCCAGAGTGCTGGATTACAGGCTTGCACCACTGAGCCCAGCTCAGTGAGACATTTTTTAATGGAGAAATACACACCAAACTCCTAATAAATGCGAAGTGCAGAGAGTGGAGGCAGTGGGAGCCTGAGGATGGAGGTGAGTGAGGTGGGGAGGTGGGGAAGACCTACCAGCCAAAGAAAACACAGCCTTTGAGCTGCCCCATATCTTAGGATTTTTTGGTGCAAAAGCAATCCACATTCAGCAGAAGCTGTGCTTTGATTTTTGAATCTTGAGCTTTGCTCAGACTGGCAGCGCTCACCCAGTCCTCTCTCGAAATGCTGGGGGACGGCAACCAGGCACAGCTCCCGGTCAGCCCCTCAATCACGAGAGAAACAACCGGAGCTCCACAGTGCGCTGTGTTGCTAATCTATGATGGTCCCTAAGTTAGGAGTATTTG